CCCCTTCTGGAGGCTGGCTGCGACCATGGGCTCACTCTGGGGCCTCCTTGTCTGCAGAAGTTCCGGAGGAGCCTTAGGAAGGCTCCTACACAGATGGGCAAGGATAGAGGAAGTCTACCAATGTGCTGGATTCTTCTTCAGAAGCATTGTATTGACAGACAAAATGGAAAAATCCAGTCTGGGTGTCAGTGAGCACCTCAGACTTTTTTTGGGGGGGGGCATTACAATTGCATTACAAATAATGATTTCTGAGCTGAGTGGATGTGTTTACAAAGTCCCCCCCTCCCTCCGTTCCCCACCCCCTCTTTCTCTGTATTGTCCTTAATTACCTCAACCCAGCCAGGCTCTGGTGGCTCACGCCTGTAATCCTACTCAGGAGGCTGAGATCTGAGGATCACAGTTCAAAGCCAGCCTGGGCAGGAAAGACTGTGAGACTTTTCCCTCCAATTAACCACCAAGAAGCTGGCTTGAGTGGTAGAGTGCTAGTCTTGAGGGGAAAAAAATTCAGGGACAGCACCCAGGCCCTGAGTTCAGACCCTAGTAATGGTGCATGCACGTGCGCACGCGCACACACACACACACACACACAAAACTGTGTAGTCAGTTCTCTGTTCCACTTCACTACTGAGATTATTACAGGGACTCTCTGCTGAGCACTCAGTGTATGGGCTCCTGAGGTTGGCACTGGGTCTCCATCTCACAGACTGATGCCCAACATTGCTCGAGTCATCACGAAGGAGCCAAGCTTTGATGGCTTCCCCCAGAGTCCCTGGAGAGACTGGTGGGCTGGGCCCTGGCACCTCAGGGAGGGGAGAGTCTGCTGCCTCAATACCCACAGCACCTTGTTGTGACTGAAGCCCGTTGTTGTGACAGAGCCCTGCTTCTCAGCCAGGGGAGTGGGGCCCTGTCTGTTCCTCTCCAGCACCCTGGCTTCACTCTCCCGTCTCTGCTTCCTCCGGACCCTCCAGACGGGCCCCCACTGCCAGGGAGAAGCCTCGGCTGGCTGCCGTGGGGAGTTTCTCAGCTCCCAGAGGCATCTGGGTTTCCAAGAGCCTGAAATAGTCTTGTCTGAGTGTGAGGGGGAAGGTGGAGCGAGGGTGGGTGAGGGTCTGCCTCAGCCCACACCAGCTTCTCCTTCACCACCACCTGGACGGTTAACTTCCCAAGGTGGAGGGTGGAGGTTCCCTGCCTCCTCTTTCTCAGCAGGTCGATAAGGGGGGTGGCCATGGTCAGAAGGCTAGGCTGGGGCTGGGGGGCTCGCTGTGTGGGGGAAGATGGGAGGATGGGAGCTGGGATCAGTCTGGAACACACAGGAGCTGGGGGTCAGGGCTAATGGAGCTAATGAGTCCTGTTACCAGACAGGCCACAGGGCAGACGGCAGGAGAAAGAAGACAAGGAGTAGTTGGTGGCGTGGCACGGGGAGCTGGCAGGGTGTGGCTGAGACAGGGTTGGCTCAGGTTGTCCTGGGCAGGCTCTGGTCAACACAGAGGTGGTGTTGGGGTGTCAACAAGCCAAAGGTGAGCGCCACCGCTGCTGCAATGCATTGATTAGTCTTGGTCTAAGCACTTGGAAGATTGCTAAATGCCTTCCCCCAGCCAGACCTCGTAACCCTTCGTGTTGGGAATGGACCACCAGAAGGAGATGGAGCAGCGAGAGGAAGGAAATAATGCGAAGAACTCAGACCCAAGAAGCAGCCTTCCCCTTGAGGGATTCATCCAATCCCCCTCCCCTGATTCCTAGGATCTCCCTCACTAGTAAAAGGTAAATCACAAGGTCTTGTGGTGTTGCCCTCCCCCCCGCCCCCGGTGGGACCCCCCCCTCCATGCATGGGAGCCGACGGGGGTGAGTGCCAGCATAGAGCAGCGCCTGGGCTCCGGACTGTGGGCTTGAGCAGCTGCCAAGTGCATCCTGAGCATCTCAGGCTTCGGGGTCCCCAGTCCCCCTCTTAGCTCCCTGTCACCCCTTCCTCAGCAAGCCTCCCAAGAGAGCTTCTCGGTCTTTTCTATCAAATCTGTTTCTCAGTTGGAACCCCAACCTATCCATGTGGAGCTCAGCAGAGCCGGGGTTTGGGAGAGCAGAAGGGAGAGGGGGGAGAAAGAAGCCAGAGGCTGGGCCAGGACTAGAGACAGGCACACAGGAGCCCTCCTTCCACAGTGAGGGTGTACCCCATGCTTGCGCCCTAAGACCCCCCCACACCTGATCTGCCTCACATTTGCCAGCCTCCTTGCATCTAGAACAGGGGGCTGAGGTAGTGAGCCCCAGACTCCCCTCCTGTACCCCACATCCGACGTGTGAGAAGAAAGTCTAGACTCGGTTTGTAGTAGTAGTTGGTCTCTAGCTGGCTGGGGCGATGTGGGCACCCGGGGGACCTTGGGTGTGGTCCTCTTGGGGACCCTGATGCCCGACTGAACCTCAAGCCAGAGACACTGCCGTTTCCTCCTTAGTTAGGGGGTCCCAGGACAGGGCCTTGTTTCCTGAAGTTTCTCTCCTTCCCAAGCACCAAACTCACCTGTGCGTCACCTGGTCTGCGGGCTGGCCAAAGGGGCAGTGGGAGAGCTGGACCTCTCTCTCCTCCTGCCCTCTTCTCTCCTGCTCTTTGCTCATCAGCTAAGTTGGACTGGAGGGGAGAGACTGCTCTTCTTTGAGCCCCTTTTTGGCAGTCTCAGTACACCCTCCCCCCCAACCCCAAAATGAGAACCGCCGGGGCTTGTAAAATGTGTGTGCGCCCGGCCTGGCCGGCCGGCTGGCTGAGGTCCTGGGGTCCCAAGCTGAGGCCAGGGAGGGGAGGGAGACGGCGGGGGGAGAGTGTCCTCCTGCAGCTGCGTTCTAGTTCCCGGTGAGCCCCCAAGCCCTGAGCCTGGAAGGGCTGAGCCCGACGCGCGCGCCCTGCTTCCCGTGCCCCACGACCCGGCCCCCCATCGCCGCTGGAGAGGCGGCGCCAGAGCTCGGGTCCGAGCCGAGCCCGCCGTCCCCGCGCCGGGCCCGGCCCGCCGGGCCGGGGCGACACCTACCTCACCAGGATGGCCACCCCCACGTCCTCGCAGTTGGCATAGAGCCGGGCCCACGTCGCCTGCACCGCCTTCCTCTCCGCCTCGGACAGCTCCTCGCCGCGCTCCCTGCGCTCGATCTCCATCTCGCCGGGCACTTTCGCCATGAGCGTCTCCAAGCCCGGCCCGGCCCGGCCCGGCCCGGCTTGGCTCGGCACGGAGGGGCGCGGGGAG